TTGCCTGAACAACCTGTTTGTGTGCCTTTTGTATTGCAGCACAGCCTCATTCTGACCACAAGTGATTTATTGCTGTTTGTTGTATCAATGCGCCAGGGCATCGTCACAAATGCTGCTTGGACTGGTTCTCAGTCTTCTGAAATCTCAAGATATTGGATGGGTCTGTTGTACTGGGCGTGAACAGTACTTTCTTGAAAGTTGATGGAAACAAGCTTAATCAAGATGACACCCTTTATGCATTCATGGTCTCTGATATTTTGGTAGTTTAGTTTGTCAGACGGATGTTTGTCAGAGTTTGATGGTAACTAGTATTCTCTTGAAGTGGATGGAAATCAGCTTAGTCAGGATGACACCGTTTATGCATTGTCTCTGATGTTTTGATAGCAGTATTTAAAATTGTGTCAAATTGATGTTTGTCAGAGTTGACATCTCACAACTCCTCCGTCTTTTCCATTGCTCAGGAGTGACTACGACTGTCTACTTTGATGGCAAGGATGCAGCAAGCTCAAGATCGAACCAACAGCAGTGCAGCAGGTAGGAGTCAGGAGTACTGTAGATGTTTTGCATAGTGTCTGATGAGAGCCTGAACTGTTTGAGCGGGATTGAATTATTGCTCCTTCAACTTCCAAACCATGCAAAGAACACTTGAATTTGGCATACTACCGCTCCAACATTCAGGCTTGAAGCTCCTAGCGGTGGATGGCGCCAGTGGATGGCTTGGCATTTGCGACTTGTTAGTTTGACAAGACTTGTCAGTCTTTTCCTTTTTGTTGAAATGTGAACACCACAATGAACAACATCAGTACTGTTACTCCAGTATTCTTGCTTTGTCTTATTGCAGGCATTGAAAGAAACAGTCTGCTGTATTCTGCTGTTGTATCACCAATGGCGACCTGTTCCATAATTATTGTACCTGCCACCCACTGCGATGCCAGGAGAATGATTTGGCTACAAGGATGTGTCAGCGCAGGACTGGTCAGTGGTCTCAGCATGTGTGGTGTGTTGCACGCACTCAGGAACTACATGAGTGAAGTGAATGTGCAAATAAACCTCAACATTATTGATGTGTTGTGCACAGTCAAAGCTTGCATGTTGCCTTGGTTCAAAGTCTTCTGTCGTCCTGGGTACACTTGTCTGCTGTTAGCTGTAAGAGTAGCTGCCTCTGTGCCATGGTCTCATCGGAGTCTGGAGTTTTGGTTTCCAGCTACCTGTCCTCTGATGTTGGTGCCGATTTGTCCTGGCAGCTGCTATCCAGTTACAGGGACACGCTTGAGGATGACAACAAGTTTGATGTGATGCTCAGTCCCAATGTGTGCGTGTGTGTTTGAGCAAATGATATGTCAAGAATACAAAGTAATGTGTATTCAACATGGAACCAAAGACACCCCACCCAGGACCAAGAAGTTGCTGCGTACCATCTCCTCGCACATTCCATTTCCTGAGCCCTATATTGAGTCTGGCGCCCAAGTCTAATGAAGGTCGCAAGTCAAAACCTGTGGTCCATTGATGGCTGGGTGTTTACTTCTTTTTGACTGTCTTCATTTGGCTCAGGTGTGATGGCGGCTACAAGATCACAATGGACGAGGTGACAAAACCTGATGCGCACCCAGCTGTGAGGCGACCTGACTGTGTCTGAGGCAAGCTCTTCAATATGTGCCTTTTGCCATCCAGATTTGTTGCTCAAGTCTTGCCACTAGGGTGTAAGTATTTCCTGTGAGTTGAATTCCATCTATGATCCAGCAAGGTTCACCCAGGAGGCCTTTGAACGGCATGTCCTCAAGTGGGGCAAGTGGTGTTATGACCAGGGCATGAGCAAGGCTGAGGCGGAGCACTGGCTGAATCAGGAGTGAGCCTGTCTTGTCATAGCACTTGGTGGCCTGTTGTGCAACTTAGTTTGGCGCTTGTTCTTTTACTGATAGGAGATGCCAGGATGTGAGGTTCATTTGCCCATCAATGGTCAGAACTACAAGGCGATCCCGTCAGTGAATGAGAATGAGTCTCAGCAATTCCAGATGAGTGGACACCTCAGTCACTGTCCTTCCTTATTTCAAAGTTTATATCATTGCTTGTTGGTCTTGTTTGACTGATGCAAAATGAAGACTACAGGATGAGGTTAATGTTACTTGTTTGTGTTGTGTTGCATTGGCAAACTGAGGAGGAAGGAGGCTTGTCTATGTCCAGTCTGGTATATTCTTCACCAAAAGGGCAAAGGCAGGAGCTGACTGATAATAGTTCAGTGTCAGTGCAATCATTCTGTTCACCATGTCTTTCTGTGATGTCTATTGAAGCCTGTCATGAATGCGCGAATGAATTAGCTGTAGGTAGTTCATATCAATTGTGCACTGATGTTATTATTGCAATCTCTTTGCACTGGCTTTGCAGACTTTGGTGCCTCAGTTTGAAGTGGCTGAGATCCAAGAGCTGGATTGGAACGAATCGTTTGAGGTGGAAGATTCGTCTGAGCAGTCAGGGGAAGGATCTTGAGCTGCTGTGGCCCTGTTGAAGTGTCCAGTTAGGCCGCTAGTCTACTTGTGTGTCAGTCTGATGTAAATTGTAAGTGTTGTTCACGCGCAACTTTGCATTTGTGGGGTGAAACATGGGCCTGACTGGGCAGTGGCGACGACAGAGTTTTGTTTCAAAGGCTGGCCAATAGAGCCAAATCATTATTGCTCTTTTGTAGACAAATGAGCAGCGAGTCACTTGATGTAGCTGCTTTGAGATTAGAATCATTGGGGTTGGTGTTTCAACTCAACATGGCAAGCGTGAGTGTAAATTGCGCAGGAGTTCCTTCGTGTGAGGATGAATGCGGGTGGGCCAAGACATGGCAAGGTCCTGAGTCTAGTGTCTTCAAGCAGATTAGTCAAGACACTATTCCAACTGTCAGATTCCAATGTTTGCTTCCCTGGCATTTTGCAGAGTGCGCAGCGGTGCTGAAGTGGAGGCACAGGGCATATCATCAGTTCAATCTCATACAGTGTGTTTTGTCTGCTGAGTCTGCTGTCGTGATGAGTGCAAATTCCATTTTGGCTGGATATGAACATGGGTCTGGCTGGAAGTCTGGACAGGCCCAACAGGAAATGGCAAGCAAAGCCGTTGGCTCAGAGTCTGATGATTGTTTACATTGGTCCGAGCTGATACCCTGTATCCTGATGGCTTCAAAGCTGATGAGCAAAGGTATGACATCCGAGCAAATGATGATCGCAGGTGATGGGAGTCCTGGACGCTAGGCAAAATAAGCTGTGTGTGTTTGATTCCTGGTGTCTGAATCTCTTGTGTCACTGTGTCCTTGACATTGGGGTGAATCCCATACCTTGGTAGGTAGGCGCTGCGTGAACCTGTCTTTTGTCATGTTACATTTTGCATGTGAAGCATTTGTCATTTTACATTGTGTTCATTCGTGCTGCCTGCAGTGCTTTGAGGCCACATTACAGGTTCTACTCGATGAGATGATATATTCATGATGTTTGTTTTGTTTAGGCGATATCTACTGCCTTCCTTGGCAAAGGATACTAGAAGGTGGTATTGTGTGTTTGTTTCATTGTTACCTCTTTGGGACCTGAACATGGAATCCCCAAACATTGATGTTGTTGGGTGTTTGTCTTTCCCTTTTGTTGTTGTGTTGCTCCCATGCGTGGTGGTTTGTGAAGCCTGGTCAGGACTATCGCTTGTGGACGTTTAGCCTGTGTGCAATCCTCAGCCTGAGTCTGGCCTATTAGCAATGATTGACTTGTTGCTCTGTCAGTGCAATGTAGTACAATCCTGAATGTGACATGCTTCCATGGTGAACTCTGTTACAGCGAGGGCTGGGGTAGATGTTAGAGGGTGAACAACATCAAAACTGCACCACTTTCAACTAAGTACATCGCAGTCGCTGGAAACAGAAGACAAAACAAAGACAAACAAGTTCAGCAAAGCAGCTTTTGTCTCCGTGCGCTGACTGACTGATGGCGCTGGCTACTGTGGAGGAGATGTGTCAGAGGTCTGAGTTGTTTGCTTTTGTGGACATGGCTGAGGGGGCTGAAGAGTCTGCTGTTGTCTTTGAGATGGACCATCGCTTCAATTTGGCTGACACTATCCGCAGTCTGGATGAGACCAATGGTAGCCTGCCAGCCAACAGTCAGATGACAAGATGTGTGAAACGGCAAAGGGCAGTTCGAGCATTGGTGCGAAGATGTTCATCAGCAGGCGTTGAGCTTCCTGAGCTGCTGAAGGACCTGGTGGAGAAGGTCAACACTGAGGCTCTTTCTGATGTACCACTTTTCAGCAAGAGGACGTTTGAGACCATGATGCATGATTGCAGACATTCTGTCAATGAGAAGCTGCTGAATGAGCAGTTTATCATTTGATATGTCTGTTGTAGATCACTAGTAGCCCTTGATAATTCATGATCACTGATTTCTGTGCAGTGGTTAATTAGCAGTGGTAATTAGATTTTAAATTTGCGCAGCCTACCAAACTGACAATTAAAGGATAAAATGCGAAGTCAAAGCAAATCAATATGCCGTGTGATCATGTGTCATGACTGGTGCTGTTGTGTAGTCTTAGTAGGAGAGCAACTGGTAGTGCAGTTGGGATGATGAATAAATGCAACGACAAAAGTGAAGAAAGAGAAATAGGAAAACATGAAAAGAATACATGAATAATAAAAACAATAAATAGAAATCTTGAAATAAAATGAAAATCTTAGCAGAAATCAACTCAAAAAATCTCAAAAAATCTCGAAAAATCTCGAAAAATCTCGAAAAATCTCGAAAAATCTCGAAACATCTCAAAAAATCTCGAGGGGATGAAAGGGAAAATAATTTTAACAACTCAAAAAATCTCAAAAAGTCTCAAAAAATCTCGAAAAATCTCGAAAAATCTCGAAACATGAGAAAATATGCAAAAATATGCAAAAACATGCAAAAATTTAATTGTACATGCGAACTGGAGCGTGATATGACTGCTGCAGTCAGCTGTCTTCTCAAACGTCTTGTGTCTGACTAGACTGTGCTGTTGCCATGTCGGTGCGCAGTGCAGTGAACCGGGCACAGAAAAAGGCTCGTGGGGCGCCGCCTATGTTGCCTGGAGGTATGATGCCGCAGATGTTTGGCGGTCCTATGATGCCCCAGATGTATGGTGGGATGATGCCTCAGCAGATGTTCCACCCACCTCAGTCTCAGGTGGGGGAAGGTGACACCTACACGTCAGAAGATGAGCATGAGCAGGTGTCGTCGTCTACTGTCCCGCCCAAGGCTGCAGGCATTCCTTTGCAGCAGGAGTCGTCTGCTGTAACAGCAGTGGCAGAGCTGCAAGAGGATGGTGTCCAGCGCCACCAGCGTCTACCAGATGCCTTAATTTCCCGCTCAGTGACGTATGTCAAGCAACTTCCTCGCAATAGGGTCTCAGAGACCTTAGAGGCAGTGGATGGGCAACTGGACGCTTCGTTCACCTCAGAACTTAGCTCTGATGGTTGTCTCATTGTCCTGTGGCTTTACTGCAGGGTCAAACCTTGTGTGAAGATCTCAGACCTGCGTGCCCTGACTGAATGTCATACAACAGACATAAATAAAACAGACATCAGATTACAACTGACAGACAAACAACAATGAGTGAGAGTCAGAGTGTTTGTTTATTTATCTCATCCTGCTCAGGCATCACCAAGTACTCGGAGTTCACCAGCAGAATGAGTAGCTCCCACAGACGCATTTTGCAGAATGTGAGCCAAGACGTCTTCAATAGTCAGGTTGTCAACAAGTTCAGCCTGGTGTTGACGGATGAGAACATCCGAGCCAATGCCTGTGACTTGGGATGGCAGGATGAATGGCTGATCACCAACAGGCGCCGGCCCAAAGCACCACCGCCAAAGAGTGGCGACCTGACTCAGATGTTTGTGGCTCAGTCTTCTGTCCCAGTTGTACGAGCCCTGGCTTGTTGCCTGCTGAGTCTGACTCTGTTGCTCCTCTGCTGATTTGAGACTATGTTGTTTCAAAGTTTGATAGTCTTATATAGGAGAGGGTGTGACCATGTGTAATAATGTTGCATGCAACCATTTGCGATCAGTTCAGGGTGGTCCACTTGCGCCTCCGAAAGCAGCAGCCCCGACGCCTCCACCTCCTCGTCCTTTGATGTCTGATGATGGGCGCATGCTGCCGACACCAGCAGCAAAGGCTGCTGCCAAGGCCTCTCCTCCTGAGGAGGGTGAAGGGCCGCTGTGCATCATCTGCCGCGCTGTCATGCACAACCATGAAGCTCGGGAAGCCATCTTCTGCGGTCACACCTTTCATCGAC